AAAACATTAAAATAAATCCATGTCCATTTTTCAGATATAAATCTCTCATTGCAGTAAATTGTTCAGTTCCTGCCGTATCCAATATTTCCAACATACATATTCGATTATCAATTTCTACTTTTTTACGATATGAATCTTCGATTGTAGGGTCATATCTTTCTACAAACATTGATTGGACAAATTGAACTGTCTGAAAATTTCATTAATGATTTTTGGAAGTTGGTAAAAAAATATGAAATGAAATATTAAATTAATTGATTGATTGATTGATTGATTAAATAAAATAATTGTAATGTTTGAGTAACTTACAAAGGCAGATTTCCCTACACCTCCTGAGCCTAAAACAACTAGTTTATAATCCTTCATTTTTATTTTATCAAACAAATTGCACAAGAAATTTATTTATTAATTACGTAGAAATGAGTTTAAGTGAATGATGATGAGTTGAGGTGAAATGAGTTTGGGTATAGGTTAGTAGTAATGAGCGAAGCGAGTGAAATATATTTTTATTAAATGAAAGTTGGGAAGGAAATTATTTACTAAAAAAATTGATATATTTACTATATGGTACTATGTTAAAAAAATTGATAAGAACAAATTTTATCGGCCCAAAGAATATTTACAAACACAATAATCTTAGTTAACTGAGCATTATTTATTTATTACCAATTTTTTTGGTGATATTAAAAATTCTTTGAGTTATACTTTCAAAAAATTATTGCCTTTTATGAATGAATAAAGATGAAGATATTGGTGATGACATTTATATTTTCATGAAAAAAATATTATTTTGGTTTTTCCACCCATAAGTCCAGTTTTCCACCCTATTAAAAATTTTCACAGCTTTAAAAAGAAGACTTGGAATAAAAATTTAAAAGCAAGCAGTAAAACTGACTTCTATAATTTGTTAAAAGGATCCTGGTCTATAAAGAATTGATTAATTAGCAGATGTGAAGTTGGACTGTTTTAAAAAGCCGACAAGACATTGAATTTTTTAAATAATAACAATATGAATAGTTTAAATATTTTTTACGTTTTATGTAACGCATCACAGCCCTGGCTGCAACAAAACCAGACAAAGTGAACATTGGTATTATCAAGGATTTCACGTCCAGAATTTTAGTCTTGTTCAATATTAAATCTCTCCCTCATGTCTATCAACATTTGGTGGATTCAATTTCATTTAATAATTCTTTATCTTTCTCTTGGAGTTTGTTTATTGTGTTTGTCATGATTTTCTTTTTTTATTATTTTTTATTTCTTTTCTTTTAGCGAAGCAATATTTAATGAATTTTATTTAAGGAAAGTCTGGAATGTACCTGACTTGGTAAAACAGGGATTAACAGTTTAAGAGGGCACCCGCCAGGAAATGTTATTAGTGCATAGTGTGAAATCTAAAGAAGATATTGTTTAGTAATGCTTAGCAAGGAATTGTTTACGATAGTTTCGAAAGTAAAGTATAAATGTATATTCGCGGAAATTGTTTTACGATTTAGTGTAAATGTATTGACACAGAGATTAATTAAATAAACAAATTGAAACCGTGAAATTTGGACACGGTCTCACAATGAAAATCGGAAAAGTAAAAAAAAAGGAGAAATTTCTTTTATTTTGTAAAAAATAAATTTTTTTTTGCAATTATATTAAAAAAAAATTAGACATCCACTTAATAAACCAGATTAAATTTTCAACACTGTATATTAAAGACCAAATTTAGCAAGAGAATAATAGCGATAATAGGAATTATATCCCAAATCCATAAACGATTTTCCGCGTCCTTTAAGAGCGTAAATTGTAATAATCAAAGAATAAATAAACTCATTAATCAAATAGCAATTCATATAATGTATTTATATTAATTTAAAGAAATGGATAATACAATATACTGTACCAAAATTTAAGGATCTGATTGTTTTACGGTTTGTAACTTCTGCATAACTAGCAGAATCCTAAAAATAAATAAAAGATAAGTTATTAAATTATTATTATAATAACAAATTAATAGTTATTGATATTACACACTCTAATCACGCCACCAAGGAATGTCTTCAATATGTTTCGAGTTTCTTCGTAAATAGGCGCAGAACTACGTTTTACGGCTGCTCTGAGAGCAAGCTTTCTAATGGACAGCTTACTTATCCCTTGAATATTGTCTCGGTTGATTTTACTGTGTACTCCTCTGTTGTTATTATTTCCCACATTTATTGTTCCATTCCTATTATCGTTATTATTATTCTTCTGAGGACAATTCCATCTTACATGTCCTACTTGACCACATCCATAACATGTTACTGGCGGACGGTTTTCATTCATTGCACTATTTTGGATTCTTGGTCTTTGATTATTTTGGACATTTTTTCCTTTTATTATATTCGTTTGTATCCTACCGTTACTCCTTTTCCTTTATCATGATTGATTATTATCAATAATAGAAGAAATATATATCTAAGTTTTTAAAAAGAATGAGGCCTCAATTGTGTACCTTGAAGTACTTGTGATTCTTAATCTGACTCTATATTTGGCATTTCTTTGTATAATTCTTGATCTGACTCTATATTTGGCATTTCCTCATGTGATTCTTGATCTGGCATTTCTTTATGTGGTTCTAGTGATGATAATTCATTCTTTAAAAACAAAACATGTAGGTTAACAAACAACACAAAATGAACAAGTTAATGAACAGAAAATTTGTTAATAATCACTAATTCTGCTGAAGTAAAATCTTTTATTAACTTGATGATTTTTTTATGATGTTAATTTAAGTCGTATATAATATTATTTTCTTTCAATAAATCTCTGATTATTGTTTCGTTGATATTATAGATTCTGCTCAATTCCAATATTATATTATTCTCTAGTCTTGATATTTGGTCCCGAAAATTTGACAATATTAATTTTAAAATATAAACAATTCAATCAAATTTTCGCATTTGAAAAGAATATAATTTATTTGCATTAGTTGTAAAGGAAGAGGATGGTGAATCTTGTGAAAAGAATGATGATTTTGTGAAAATGACGCGATAATCAAATGCAAAAAAGTCCAGTCAGTTTGTTAATTCTGAACTAGAGTGATGACAAGTGCAATGATCAACACCATCCTTAAAACACTTACCCGCCAAGCGCCTCCCCTTTGTTATTCTCTTCTTGTTGTTTCGTGGCATTTTTAAACAAAAAAAAAGAAGTTGATTATTTGATCGACGCGTACACATTAATTATTTATCCTATTGGTTGGTTTTTTTTTTGTTGTACATACAAGGATTTTTTTTTTGGAAAATCAATTTATTTTTTGACAGTCCAAGGTGATAGTATGATATGGCAAGAGTCTCCTAAAGAAGCCATGTTAATAACTAACCAGAGGTACTACTTTTTGTATTGATATATATGTATTTTTACTTAATAAATATTTTAGTTGGAATTAGGACTTCTATTCGTAATACAAATTCTTATTCAAATTATTTGTTTTATTCAAATTATTTAAAGTTTAATATTGATTTTATTATTATAAAAATTGAAATTAAAAATGAACTAATAAGGAAAGAATGAAACAAGATACATGTCTTTCCGGTGAGCTTGAATTTAAACTGGACCTTAATTATTTGTTTTATCCGAATTAATTTTTTCGAATTATTTGCTTTATTCAAATTATTTTCCTTATTCGAATTAATTTCCTTATTCGAATTAATTTTTTTATTCAAATTAATTTCCTTAATATTATTTGAATCAATTTCTTATTCGAATTATTCGTTTTATTCGAACTACTTTTTTTATTCGAATTAATTTTCTTATTCGAATCAATTTTCTTATTCGAATTATTCGTTTTATTCGAATTAAAATTTATTCGAATCATAACGAATAAAGTGAATAATTCGAATAAACCTTATTCTAATAGAAGCCCTAATTGGAATCAAAACGTGGAGCAGACCCTGCTGGGTAATTATAAGATTCTTATCAAGATGGTAACAAATGAACGATTGGCATTTTGCTTTTGTAATCGTTATTAATATTAATACTATTAATATATAATTACAAGAAGATGTCAAGGCGGCAGCATTGACTGTTGAAAAATAAACATTTCAAATATGAAACAATTTCAAATATAAAATATGTGATGTTTGATTATTGGAAATTAGCAGATGTTAAAGCAATCACGCTACCTCGATCACTTACAGTCATTCTCACACCTTCCTCGTGTACACAAGGCTAATCTGACTTGCGATCCCTCGATGATGCAATGATGCAACTGAATTCCAGGGGAGAGATGCAATGCCCTGGGTTTACCGAGACTGCATCAATCGTCAATGACATTTCAATAATCTTTTCTCACAGCACCCAGACTGCTGCCATGTTAGCCAAAAAGTTGCCTGCAACGATCCTGCCTCTAGGGTAAGGATGACTCTGTGACCAAGCTGCAACTCTGTTGATGAATATTAAGAGAATCTGCAACTTGTTCCAAGCACATGAGGTTGCAATTCAGAGCGGGGTTGATGACCCTGAAATTGCATTTGGGCTCAAGTTAAGAAAATTATAATGTTATTTATACATGTTAAAGATTGAATTATCTAGTTCTCCGATTTCTGAAAATTCTTAATTTGATCTAATTAAATGTATTCCTTGAAGATAAACAAACCTTTCTTTTACAAGCTCTTTTTTTTTAAGTGAATGAATGATTTGGATTCAGAATTAAAGAAATATTACAATTTAGAATGTTAGGAACAATCTTTCTTGATAATTTCTGCAAGCTGATTATTTTATGGAAATTATATGACCAATCAATAAAGTTCTCGCTATGTTTTTCTTGTTTCCTTTTTCATTAGCGAAAGGATCTGCACAGAATTTAACCAATCAGAATTTCTTTTCATAACGTCGATCATTACATGGTATTATCCCTGATTGAATTTAGCCAATCAGAAAATTTTTAGAGTCGATCATTATAGTATTTAGTAGTAATAATCCTGACTGAATTAAATGAAGATGAATCCATCATAGTAATAACAAGTATCTTAGAAAGGAATGGTGGTCTCTTGGACGATCTGGATGATTCATTTAGAAATATAACAAAAGTCTTAGATAGCTACTTCATTAGGAAATTTTTTCTGACACGGATTTACATAAGTTTATGGCGGGCCCCGTAATATTATGCAATTATTACATTGAGTGTAAATACTAGATAATTTTTTATGGACACAATATTACGGCAGGGAAAATTTCCTGATGTTTGATGAAAATAGTGAAAGTTTAGACGATGAAAATAATTCATCAATCAATCAAATTATGCAAAACAATAATAGAAATCTTCAATAATAATATCAATATCACTAATGATTTACTTACTAACATTGATGATTATAATAATCACGTTGAATCACAAGTCATGAATCACCATTTGAATATTATAATAATTTACCATCAACATCTGGTCTTTCTACTGTTGATAATGATCCATCGGTTGAAGGCAAATGATGGATTCTTTTTATAAAATTTTATTTTCATTATTATTAACAATAAAATACAATAAAGATATGAAAAGAAGTTTGAAAGTTGCTGGAGTAAAAAAAGTATATTTTGTTATTAAATTAATTCTCTTATTCTTTGATTAAAGGAATAATCCTTCACAAGTTTCTAAAAAAAGTATATTTATATATACATATTATATATAATACTAATAATACTAATTATTATTATTACTTAAAATAGATTTCGGAAGAGTTTTTAGTTGACTTTTTTGAAGATGTCAAGCTGACAGCGATGCACGATAATCGCATCACGATTAAACTGAAGGATATTCAATTAGTACTATATTTTCGTAAAAGAAGACTTAATTGGTAATCTATAATAAGATCTATTCATTTACATTTATAAATAAACCAAGTTTTCAATTACCTTTTCTTTGCAACAATTGCATAATACAACTATATTCAATTTAACATCTGTATGAATTAAATATTTATATATGAATTTTCAATTAATTGTTTATTCTTTCATTCCTTTCTTCTAATCTATCTGAAGTTTTTTTAATGTATTGTATCAACTGATTTATTCAATAAATCAATAATAATATCGGGGACCTTAATTTGCATTATTTTTTTTATTACAATCAGTACAATTTCCTACGTATCAATTTTAAAGTTCCAAATAATTCATTTAAAACGTGATTAATTCTAATTGATTTATGACCATGATAATTAGGAAAATTGGTGTTGGTTTACATAATAAATCATATCTTGGATAAATTGATTCAATAATTGTGATCTCCTATTGTTGTAGTTTTTTTAGTTAACCGGAGTGGCACGAAATTATTATCGCAACTTACTAAATGTGGATCATTTTAATAAATATTAATTATTGAATATTAAACAAATCCACCTTCCCATATGAATGAATGATGTTACAAAAATTTGAGCATCAAATTGGAGGTCTTGATAAATTATTATTAACAAATGATGAAGCAGTAATTGTTAAACCTTGTAATACAGTCGAAAAAGAATTTTACGAAACCAGTGTATTATATCCAGAATTTTCTATGTGGATACCTAAATTTTATGGAAGTTTACAATTACAAGGTGTTAACCACAATAATAATTCATTAATAAATCTAGTTAATGATATTAGCGATAATAATAATGATAACGGCGATGGTATTAGGGTAGTTGATCCTTTGATAATTAGACAAGAAATCGAAAAACAAAGTGCAAATGTTACAGGAGTTGAAAATATCCTTTGGAAAATAAAAATAATATATATATTTAGGAAATGTATTAATGCTAACCAATATTATTATTTATTATTTTTAATTATAAACACATGCAATATGTTTAGAGAATATTTTATATGGTTTTAAAAAACCGTGTCTCATAGATCTTAAGCTAGGTACTCAACTATGGGGTGAAGATTCTAGCGAAGAAAAAAAGCAAAAAATGATTAAAAGAGCTTTAATGACTACATCAACTTCATTAGGAATAAAAATTACAGCATTTAAGGTAATAATATATATTCCTTGAATTGTACTCGGCCTCCTTTTTTCTAATTTATTTTCCGATTATCTCTTATTTATTTGAAAAAAAAAAGGTTTATCAAAAATCTATTGATAATTATAAAGATTATTCACGTGAATATGGGTATACTTTAAAAAATGAAGATGGCATAATATTAGGATTAAGGGATTATTTTAGAGCAGAAATATCAAAGGATAAACGAAGTTTGATTATTAAAACAATAATTAGAGATCTTGAAGAACTTTATAAAGCACTAGAAAATACAGAATTGAGATTGTATGGTGCATCATTATTTTTGGTATATGAAGGTGACCCTGATGCTTTAGAAGAGGCCTTGAGTAAAGAAAAAGAAAATCTTGAAAAAATATCATCAAAATATATTGATGGTAATGATAATGAAGGCAAAGAAGAAGATGGAGGAGATGAAGGAGAAGAAGGAGAAGATGAAGAAGAAGATGATGATGATGATCAGGAAGAAGAGAGACTGAAAGTTACTGATTTAAAAATTATTGATTTTGCACATTCTCATTTCAGAAAAAACGTTGGTAAAGATGAAGGCTGCTTATTTGGTATTAGAAATTTGCTGGGATATCTTGATCAATTACTACAAGAAAATTAAATCACTTGATTAATTTGTTTTAATTTATTTTAAAGTTAATTTTATAATAATTTATTAATTGTGATAAATATTTTTTTTGAAAAATAATATGATTCTTTTTAACAATTTTGTTATTGGTTTCGTAAAATATTTGTTCCTTTGGTCATAAGGTATGTATAAAGCAGCTTTTTTAGCTGCATTGATCTTTTATCTTTAGTCGAAGTAAAAGAGATCCCATGTATTTACACTCTACTGTGTCTCGGATCTCTTTCAGTGACTGACATGTTGAACTTTACGCAGAGTACTGTTAACCAATCTTACATCCATTGATGCAATTTTGCTCCCGATACACTCTCGAGATAACTGCGAAACAGGAATCGTCCTATTAAAATAAATGGCTTGAAGAATCTTGTTGACAAATTAGGTGGTGAATCCATTTTTAATTTGATGCTTTAATACTGCCCAGAAATACGTTGATATAAATATATCATGTTGGATCACTGATTGTATCAGAAACCTCTGTTTTTCAGTTTCTTTTGATATTTTTTTTATCCGTTTTTATTCCAACCAATATTGAAAAACAAACAAATATATAAAATTTTCCAATTTTTTTTGTTACACTATATTAGATATATATTTACGTTTTATGAAACTTACCCTGGGATGATTTGGTAGACAATGTAAAGAACATATAGCAAAAATAAAAATAAAATTTTTTTTTTCAAGGAAAATTAGTTTTTTATGAAATACAAAGTATTATTAAGGGTATCATTTGTAAAAAAAAAAATTATTTACTAAAAAAATTGATATATTTACTATATGGTACTATGTTAAAAAAATTGATAAGAACAAATTTTATCGGCCCAAAGAATATTTACAAACACAATAATCTTAGTTAACTGAGCATTATTTATTTATTACCAATTTTTTTGGTGATATTAAAAATTCTTTGAGTTATACTTTCAAAAAATTATTGCCTTTTATGAATGAATAAAGATGAAGATATTGGTGATGACATTTATATTTTCATGAAAAAAATATTATTTTGGTTTTTCCACCCATAAGTCCAGTTTTCCACCCTATTAAAAATTTTCACAGCTTTAAAAAGAAGACTTGGAATAAAAATTTAAAAGCAAGCAGTAAAACTGACTTCTATAATTTGTTAAAAGGATCCTGGTCTATAAAGAATTGATTAATTAGCAGATGTGAAGTTGGACTGTTTTAAAAAGCCGACAAGACATTGAATTTTTTAAATAATAACAATATGAATAGTTTAAATATTTTTTACGTTTTATGTAACGCATCATGGATTTCCTATCACTAAAAAAATGTTAAAATTTGGTATTAACACAAGATACTTTGGTATATTGGTAAAAAAAAAACTTTTTATGTCAATTATTTATATTTTTATTGGAATAATTTCTTTGGGTCATGTGGCGCAGAACTTGACTTACATAAAATAACCTCGTCTCTTTTCATGATAAATCTTTTTGGAAGGAGATGCACTTAAAGAATCAAATCAGTTTCTTTTGTTTTCTAAGAATTGGAATGCAATTTTTGTCAAGGGCATAGAATTGCCAGAATCACATCAATGAATATTGCGCCAATTAATTTTTTGGGGGAATAAGTTTTGAGAATATAACTGAATAGGATATTTACTAGCGAATAGTTTTCAAGTTGAATGCTTGTAATTTAATAATTTAATGCCAATAGTGAATAAAAAAATATCTTAATATAAAAAGTCTGATTAATTTTTTTTAAGTATACCGTGATATGCTATTGGAAGATTGGAAAGGAATGAACTTCAAATCTTCTAATGATGGATACATTGAAAGGTTAGGAAGGCTTATACATCATCAATACCATTTTCCGATCAAAAATATAATCACGTGATCAATTGATGGCATCTACCATTTTATATGCACTTTAAGGATTGAAAGATGTTATTTTCTTACCCAAATCCACTACAACTTTATATCATTTACTGTCACCATCTTTATCATCTGTTAAATTGATAATTTTACTAAAAAAATTAACACAACTTTTTAACTTGAATCTTTTTGTTTGTAAAAGTATGTTTTTGTAATTCTAATCTTCTATGTATTGTATTTATTTATTTGCCTAATACTTTGTCAGACGATAATTTTTTGGCTTCGTTATAATTGATTTGATGAGAGTTTGAACAATAAATAAACCAATTAACATTAATTTTTTTTTATATATTTTGCCTTTTCATGCTTCCCAAAAAAATTAGTTTAGTAAAATCCATGGATGAAGAACTTTTCAGCAATCACCAGTTAATAATTAATTAACAGTAAATACTTTTAATAGAAAATTCCATTTCGAAAAAGAGTTTGTTGAATTTTATCGGCTGGAATCCCAATTCCGATGCTGGAAGGCCTGTGACTTCCAAAACTTTCAAAACGTTCCAATGGAACTTTCAATTCCAATACATTTTTGTAGGAAGTTTTTATCTGTGTAACTTATACTATTACTTTTACTATTATTAGTATTAGTTGGGCATTATTTAATGTAATTCACTCCTAGAATGAAAATTATTTATCGGTCATCAATATAAATGAATTTCATTATTTTTTTGGTGTGTAACAATAATTCATCATTTAACTGCAGACTAAACAACCACAACCTTGACAAAATCAATTATTAAATATACAAGTTAACATAGAAAAGAATATGTTCACCTAAATGTTAAAATGATCTTTCAATTGGTTGGATTCTCATTTTAATGTTTATTTATAAATAAATAATAAATAAATAATACACAGTAGTCATTACTTCGACAAAAAATATATTTGCCTAAATGTTAAAATGATAAAATAAAAGCGGATGTTTTGTGTAAATTACATTGTATAAAAAGCTCTCTTTTCCCAATTGTAATTTTTTATTTCATTTTGTTAAAATTATATAACTTGTTTATTAAAACTCGATATTTTAGATATTTGAAAAAATGTTATATAATAAATTAAAAGGCCGCGTGGGCGAAGACAACTGCAATAATAAAAAGTTAATAAATCCATACAAACCAACGAGGGAGTCCATTGAAATTGAAAAATTAAAGAAGCAATGCGGAAATATAAGATTGGCATATTTTCTTCATAATTGTAGAACGGATGGAAACAAGATTAAATGGATTTCATATGAAGAATTTTATAATGTTGAATTGTTGGCTGAAGGAGGATTCGGGATCATACACACCGCCGATTGGTCTGATATATTCTCTAATAAAAAAGTTGTGCTGAAAAGCGCATATGACTCACGGAATGCTATTCCAATAATATTAAAAGAAGTAAAATAAAATTCCTTGATTTTAGAAATATTTATTGATTAATTTAATCATTCTAATTATTAAATTATCGAACCTTAGCTAGAAGCACATAAAAGAATTTACAAGGAAAATAACACCCCTGACCATTTTATTAATGAGTGTTACGGAATTACGAAAGATGCAAAAAATAATTATATGATAGTACTTAAATACGCACAATGTGGTGATTTACATAGTTATTTGTCAAAGAATTTTAATGATTTTTCCTGGAGAAAAAAATTAGCATCAGTTTTGAATATTTCAATTGGGTAAATTGAATTTTTGTATTTTTGTGATTTTGTAATTTTTTCTAAATGATAAACTAATAAATAGTCTTTATTTTTCATCAGGTTAAATAAAATTCATTCTAAAAATTTTGTGCATCATGACCTGCATAGCCGCAATATTTTGATAGACGAAAAAAGTACAATAGCAGATTTAGGATTATGCGAGCCGGCTAAAGAAAATAATCCAAATAATCAAATCTATGGTATTATGCCGTATATGGCGCCCGAGGTATTATTAGGCAGGCCATACACAAAAGAATCCGATGTATATAGCTTTGGGATGATAATGTGGATATATACTTCTGGCAAGGAGCCATTTTATGACAGATCACATAATATTGACCTTACGATGGAAATTTTGAATGGAAGGAGACCAGATATCACCGATGATACACCAAAATTTTATGCCGAATTGATGGAACGATGCTGGCATCCTGATCCCACTGAAAGACCAACTGCAAGTCAAATCGAGAATTTTTTGAATATATATCTTGAAAATGGTAAATATAACAACGAGAATATCGAATCAGCCGAATTCAAAAGAAAACTAAGGAGGGTTGGCAGCAATGATCAAAACAAAACAAAAAAGGATTTATTTTTAAAAACTAAGCAAGATTCTGCAATTGTTAATTTATGTATATCAGCAGCTCTTGTTGCTAGAGGTAAGAAATTGATCTGTTTGTTCATTTATCATCTATTATTTAAATTTTATGATTTTATACTTACTAATTTTTATTTAATTTTTCATTCATAGCTGGACTGGGATTCGAAGAAAATTTTGATAACAGTGAAGGATTTTATGTCATATAATCTGCTGACTATACGTAAAACTTTCAAATAAGAGGAACTTAAACACCACATCAACGACATTTTCTAAAAAGAATTTTATTAAAAATCATATGGTATTCGAACAATGTTTATTTTTTATAATAAACCTCCAGTAGTAAGCAATTTTTCAGTTAAAAAATTGTCGCTTATTTCCGGAAAAATATTATTTATTATTATTTATTTATTAAATTTATTGTGCCTAAAAAATAATAATAATAAAAAGTCATTGAACGGTTCGTATAACATTTTAAATATCGATAGTTTAAAAGACTTGAAGTCAATATAAGATGCCATTCTTTAACACAACTTGAATACCAATACTGATAAATCTATAAATCTGTTATGCGAAATTTTAAAGATTAAAAAAAAAAAGTAAAAATATTATTATGCCATTCATTACTTTAGATAACATTTTATAGAAAGCACACCACAAAGTGTTCAGGCTGTAATTGATTAAAAAAACCCCGACAAAAATACTGAATAATTGAATTGAATTACTGTGTGCATTGCTGCACAAAAATTTTGCATCAATTCCCAGCAAATATTTGACCAATCTTTATAAAAAATTTGCATTCATAAAATAGATTCAAGTTGTGTTAAAGCATGGCATCTTAGAATTGTTTCTAGTGATATTTTTAACTAATGCAATTTTGAAAAAATTCTACGGTAAAATCATATTGGTCGTCAAAAACCGGACCTCCTGGAAATTTTTAAATTTTGCCCGATTGGGTATTTTATATTTATTCGAAAGACATTATTAGTATACCATTTATTCAATGCATATTAGTATGACTCAACCAACCCTTCGTAATGAACTATTAAAGTATCGCTTTATATTTAATTGCTGCATAACAACAACGATAATAATAATAAATGTTTATTTTCGAATGTAGTTTCCAAGATCCTCCTCGTTTGACTGATACCAGTAAAATGTTCTGATAACCTTGACACAGAAACTCGAAAAACTGTATTTTTTAAAAAATGAAGATATCAATCAAAGATTCTGAATCCTATGTTATTATTACTATATTAGCTTCTGCTGTCCCACCCCAAATGGTGATAGATTGACCAATTGAATTAATAATCAGAATCCTTGTGCGCCAATAATAGATTAAGGCATTTAAATAGTCCTCAAATGACTATTTTTTTTTCTTATAGATTTGTGCTAAAATCAAACAAGAAAGATTCAGACTTTGTAAGCATAAATTTTCCAGCGAATGAACTTTCTTAATATTGATGTATGTGAAGCTATTCATGGTGATTTCAAGCTAAGGGAATTATTCATTAAGATAATATTAATTTGGCTTACATGTCTCTCATATATTCTCTCACTGATTTTGTGCTATTCGGGATAACAGTAGAGTAAAGGAAGATGTCCATTTTGAAACCAAAGCTTTGATTAAGAGCCAAAATTCCAATTGGTGGATATGTTCCATTACTATATGTATGGCTGGTAATCAAGAACTTCGATCTGACATAGGTATATGGTTTCAAAAGTCTAATTTTGCAAAAAAAATTTAGCTTATTGTCAATTCATGTCCATAAAAGCTATACTGGTAGAAATTTATCAGATTCCGCATCCTACTGTGTTGATTGAGGTAATTGCTTTGATTTTCTATTTGAAAAAATGCAACCAGTTTTGCTTAAATATTTGCAGGTATTCATTAACTACAACAATGAGTGTTAAGCAACATTAATTGGCTTCGGAAGAACACAAATGGTACTGAATTTGTGGCAATTTCTATTCCTTATGGAACAACTCCCTTTTGACTAAATCTAGATTCTGAAGTGGCTATCACTCATGCAACAAGTCAACACACATGACCTACAAGAGCACCATATATTGACCATCAGGAGATGAATAACAATATAGTCTGATACAACGTCTTTAATATTAAGATGCAGCCTCTATGATGCTAGGACAATTGATTATTAGTCCATGATTTACTATCTCACAATATATTTTAAAATTAATAATAATGATGATACAGTTCATTCACTTTATAAGGGATCATTTAATTTAGGAAAAATGTCTATTATAAGGAGAATCCATTATAGACAGTAATAATTTATATATTAATATGGACATATAATTGGCCTGTATGAGTACCCATAGAATTGGTAAGGAAATTTTGTAAATTTTATTTCCAATGATATTATTTTTATTCTGATTCTATTTTCTAAGATTAAATTATTTGATAGCACCTTCAAATATTTTATTATAAGATTGATATATCAATTGAGAAATAACATCTTTTTTTTTTGAAAAACCTGGCAAGAGTTTTATTAAATAGTAATATACAGTCTAAGCTCTCTAGATCGAACCTCCAAGAACCAAATTGCTCTCTATAACAAACCAAGCTTTTGGTCCTGATTTTTTTTTTAATTAAATTTGCTGTATAACAAACTTTATAATTAAATTCTCTATTCTGTATAACAAACTGCCTTTGGGAAATCCCCTTGCAAATTTATATATATAAATTGCACTCTCTATACTGAACAGTTGCATATAATTTCCATATTTGGTTAGCATGCACAGTTGAATTTTACCGAACTTAAAAATTTATTAGTATTGGTAAAAGCGTTAATAATGATATCACTGAAGTGATTACTACTCCTCCTCCACCTATATTACATAAAGATAGGTGCCTTGTTGGCATTAGAAAAAATCAATTATACTTTGAACAACAATCAGACAAATCACGACTAGCAGACAATGAATATTGATAAAAAATACTGAATTTAATTCAAGAGAACAAGCAAGAATTGATAATTATATGAATAATTAAAAAAAACTTAATAAACAAAATGAATTTTTTAAAAAATTATTATCATGTGACAATGATTGACACTTCTCTATAATGAATGCTCTCTATACCAGATGAAATTTCTCGGCCCAGGAGAGTTCAGTATAGAGAGCTTTGACTGTAACTTTATTTTTCAACGTATAAAATTTAGCCAATCATATTTTTCTTCAAGTGTCACGTGGAAATTAGAATGCCAATCGTTACAGTATTTAGAAATTCCAAATTTGGTAAAATACTTGACTGTATAATAACCTCTTCCATACATGTTTAAAATATGGCACTAATTTTTGTATTACCATATTTTGAACTACATGACCAAATTTGATAAATCAAAAAATATGTCACACAAAATTAGTCTCAATTTCTTAATTTGAAATTTTCAAAATAGGTTCAGCCAATTTTTAGTTTAAGAAATGACTAGTTGATAAGTTTGATTAACTAATTTTTTTGTTTTAGTATGTTTTAGTATTTGAAGTTGCTGATTGTTACTATGGTTATAGATGATCTGCACTATAGTCTATATTTTTAAAGGTCCAGAATTTAGACAACTGCGGCAGTAACTCACCTATTACTATATAGTTTTCGAGGTCCTGCCCTCAATTATACTAATTTGGGGTCTCCCTATATAAAACTAGGTTACACAAATTCTTTGATATAATTGGTTGACTTTTTTGTTTTTTTCTTTCTTTGAAAAAATTCAACAATAATAAAAATAATAAATAATAAAAATGGATACTATGGAAATAGATGCAGTCAACAGTTCTTACCTACAACAACCTCAAGAGCAGATAAACCACCTTCAACATCAACCCCATTCAAGAATTAATGGTCTAACATCTACTGATACTATTCAACCTTTCAAAGAGACTATTACAGGACTAGTTAATGATTCACGAATGCGTTTCCATAATAACATTCTCGAAGATAATCACCATCCTGAAGATCCTGCCAGGACTGCTAGGATACAAAAAATTTTGCAGCAATCTGGTTGTTATAACAAAATGAAACTCATAAAATCTCGAGAGGCTACATGCAAAGAAGTGTGTCTTGTACATACTATTGATCACTGGAATTGGCTAATGGAAACTGAAAAAATGGACTTGGAAGAATTGGAATCATTAACAGATAATGGCAACTCTTTATATGTAAATAATGACACTGCATTATGTGCAAAGCTTGCTTGTGGTGGTGCAATAGAATTATGTGAAGCTGTTGCCAATGGAGTTGTAACAAATGGATTTGCTAATATAAGACCTCCAGGACATCATGCTGAACATAATTGTGCAATGGGATTTTGTTTTGTCAATAGTGTGGCTGTTGCTGCTAAATGTTTAACAAAACTTCACAACAACATGAAAATTCTGATTCTTGATTGGTAAGATTTGTTTAATAGGAATATGTATATATTAGGAATATACACTACTAACTTCATCTTTTTGGGAATTTTATATAAAGGGACGTTCATCATGGTAATAATTATATTAAAAATACATATTTATAAGTAAATTTGATCTATTCATCAAATAAATAATTTTTTTCATTTAGGAAATGGAACACAAAAGGCCTTTTATAATGATCCAAATGTGCTTTATTGTTCATTACATCTTTATGAAGATGGGGCATTCTATCCTTGTGATAAAGAAGCAAATTTTATGTTTACAGGTGGGGGTGAAGCTATAGGAAAGTAAGTTATTATCATTATTAACATATTGCCTTTTTTATCATATAAATTTAATCATTATTATGTCATTTAAACAATATTATGAAGAACTGTGAATATACCATGGCCATGTAATGGGATGTATGATAGTGATTATATTTATGCTTTTAATAAGGTTGTCATGCCCATAGCATATGAATTTTCACCTGATATTGTCATTGTCTCTGCAGGATTTGATGCTGCTGCAGGTATTTAGGTTTTTTGCTTTTGAATATAAAGACATTTATTAATTATTATTAATGTGTATTTTAAATTATAGGTGATCCAATTGGTGAAAATAATTTAACACCATTAGGATTTGCTCATATGACTGACATGTTGAAAAAATTGGCAAATGGAAAAATTGCTTTAATATTGGAGGTAAATGGGGATATATAGATAGATTATGAATCAAGGATAAATAGATGGATGACAATAAATTAATTCTCATCACATCCCTCATTTTCTTCCACACAATATAATTTAGGGTGGGTACAATCTAGAATCTGTATCTAAATCAGCAATGGCTTGTGTAAAAGTATTACTTGGTGAATCACCTGGCAAAATGGAACCAATTAAACCTAGGAGGGAATGTTTAGAAACTATAGAACAAGTTATACGTGTTCAATCAAAACATTGGAAAAGTCTGGTTCCTGAGTATAATGATGTCAATCAGGGTAATTTTATTATTTTCATTATTTCACTAGCTGAGAAATCAATTTTTACATTGAAAAAAAAAAAATTTTTTTTTGTAGAACGAATGCCTGGTAAATGCATTGTTGATTTGGCAGGTAAATTCTTGATTGTAATCAATTGATCAATAGTAAATAATAATTATTTTAATTACTAATACACATATCTTTTTTTTAGAAATGATGAAAATATTTCGAAAATACTATTTATTTGACAAACTAAAAATCATAACATTTCCAATAAGAGATGATGTTATGAAATCCAAATTTTCTGAAACAATTTATGCTAGGTAAGTCCAAAAAAGCCAAGAGAAAAGAGGGAATTCATGATCATTATTATTATTATCACAATATTTATAATATTCATATTATATGATATAGTCCAGACTTTATGTCAAAAAAAACTGTATTTATTTTTATTCATGACATGTAAGTTTAATTATTATATATATTTACATATTATTATCTTTTAAAATTTATTAACTTTTTTTATTTCCTAAATTATCAATATGTTGGTTGGATTTAAAGGGCTGATTTTAGGTTTGTCAAATATTTTTTCTGTTTGTTGTTTTGCTTGTTTCCTTCCAAAAAAATTATATATTTTTTATTATTAAAATGATATAAATTTTTTTCCTTAGAGCTAATACAATGGCAATGACAAATTCATTTGAAGTATCTGGATCATATATGGTGATTATTTTATAGATTTATAATATTCTTATGTTATAATTTTATCTTCATCTAGTATTACATCATTATTATTTATTTATATGTAGGTTGATACAACATATCAATATATCCGAAGTATTATTGCCAGAGGGTATGGACTTATTGATATTGATTTGCCTCCAAACATGGTAAAATTACTATTTACTATTATTATAATTATAATTATTCTCATCCCAAAAATAATAATTATCATTGTTATTTTAGAATGCAAAAGTTGATCTTATCAATTTTAAAGAAGTATTATTATATATATGGGACAATTTTTTGCTGTGAGTAATATAAACATAAATAAATATATATATGTTTGATAATAGTAAAATTAAATAATTAACAACTTAATTTTATATAATATAGATTAAGTGATTCAAAATTATTCTTAATTGGTTCAGGAATAGGGTGTCAAAATTTATTAGATTTGATACAAAGTCGAGGTAACTTTTACTAATCATATACATATAAAATAAAAAAATTTTGTTTTTAATTTTTAATTTTTTAATTTTAATTTACCTATGTAGAAACTGAAGTTATTGATAAAGTAATAGGATTGGTGTTAATACCAGGACATACAATTGATATAGCTTCAACGTCCAAAAAATTTGAACTACATCATTGGTATAATAAGGTGTGTATAACATAATGTTTTATGTATTTTATTTATATATCTGTTATTTATGTTTTTTATTTATAGACTGCAATGGTAATATTACCAAAAAATCATCCTTATTGGGACAAAGTCAAAAAAAATCTTTACAACAAAGAATTGAAAGGTGATTAACACAAGTACATCTATTTATATTTATCCATTTATATTAACTTTCTAATTAATTCTTTTTTTTTTTTGATGGTTAAATAGTTTCTAGTAAATTATCATTAAATGATACATTATATACTGTTTATTCAGACATTTTTAAATTTGTAGATGAAATTTTAAATAGAATTTCAGTCACTCATCATATTAATAAGAAGCAGAAGTTAATTATTGATAGTAGTAGTAGTAGCAGCAATAATAGTAATAGTAGTAGTAACAATTATATTAACAATAGGCCTAAATAAATCATCATAATTATTATAACATGTATATATAGATTAATATATGACAGATAATATTAAATATGAAGAATATATTACACAAGTTGAGAATACTTTTTAACAAGAAAATCTTATTATAATATTAGATGTGTATGATTATTAGATACTGATTAACCCTACTAATAACAATATTAAATTTAACTACCAAATTTATCAGTTAACACATATAAGAACCTTTGTTGACCATATGAAATAAGACTTGAAAAAATATTTATTTAAAGGCCGTGGGAAAAGCATTGAAGCAGGCAAAAAAATTGAAAGACCCAACAATTTTTATGATGGGGCTTTAAAACCATTAACACCATAATAATAAATATATTGGAAAAGGTTCAAAATTAATATAAATGAAAATGAAAGTGTTACTGATTAAAAATTATATTTTTGCTTTTGAATATTCATTATTGTTTGTGCCAAGCGAAATTCATTATTTTTCTAAAATAATTTTGTGTCAAAAAATCAAATCGTTAATCGTTACACAAAACGTGCATTAAAAAAACGAGAGAATTTTTATATATAACTTTGAAAATTTGCACGTGAAATTCAAATTAGCCAATCAGAATTCCATATCCTCAATATTTTAGGTTTCAATTTCATATAATCATTGAATGAGTAAAAAAATCCTTTTCAACATAATTAGTCAATTTGATCAACTATTGATTAGTAAATTGATCTTTCGAGTCCAATCTCTAAACGGATAAAATCTTTGTCGTAACACTTAATCTATTATTACTATTAAGGGGGGACACATATCTATTTAACTTTAATTACTAAGACTAATCATGTTTTGTATAATTATAATTCGTTTGAAACAAGATTCGTTTAAATGAGGTTTGACTGTCTCATTTTGGCTTAACTGTTAATGTTTAAATTATTTATCCACAACCAACTTTTTCAAAAAGTTGAAATTATTTTTAAACCCAACAAAATCATCAAATCACAAAATTATTTTCGATTCCCACACCATACAGTAGTAGTAAGTCTTTATTCTTTACACTAAAACTATGTTAATTTTAGATAAATTTTTTTTATAGATTAACTTTATTCATATATTTAAATAATATTCCCTGTAGCACAAATAATAGGTTGATAATCTGTAATAATACTTTTTGTGTAAATTTAAAAAACATTTCATTCACGTATCACCACCAATTAATGAAAATAGTGACAATTGAAATTAATCTTGCTTAGATGAGTGAATGAATGGATGAATGAATGGATGCATATAATTTAATGAATTAGATATATTTAATGACAATTGAATATCAAAGGGTAATCATGATAACATAATACACAGCAGTGAATTTCTGATAATGAATTCTCTCGATATAACGGATTCACTAATTAAATTTCGGTATAACGGGATTTTGAAATTTTGACCAAATTATCCGCTAAACCGAGACTCTCTGTGTATAAAGTTTTGGGGTATTGTTTGACTTGCTCCTTCACATATCTTCATTACAAGTTCTTGATCGTGTGCCAAATTATCAAAAGGTTGTAGTCCTATTGAGATTACTGGCATCAATCTCCCAAAACTATATATCCATTGTGTATGGTTTGTCAATTAACACCACATGAGCTAAATATGACGGTACTCGATAATAACATTTTTATTTGGGGTTGATGCGTGATTAGCTGGAATCGATAATCCCAAGTCTGTAATAAATATAAAATGACTACCATCTTGTAAAAAAATATTGCCACTGTGTAAAATCATATGAACAATTTTTTGTTCATGAATTTGTTTTAAACCTTTAATAATATAATAAAGAGTCTCATTTTATTTCCCATATTAAATTTTTAAATTTTTAGATAAATAATTTTGAAGACCTTCTTCATAACTCTTTTGTAATTGGATCTTGTATTAATTCATCAATAAGAGAATACATTTAATAATAAATGATAGCGTTTTTTTTTAGAATTATTACTTCGTTTTATAAATTCTTCTGAATACTTTGAGAAATATGCAATTTTTAACGCAATGACTATATTTTCACCACATCTTCCATTAGCATTTCGATATTTTCTACCATTTATCCATGCAAATTTGTATATGGTTGCAAATCCATCTTCATTTATCTTTTCGATATTTTCTATATTGAAGATAATTATAATTATCATAACTTCTTGCTTCAAGTTGTGCGCTTTAATTATTTCATATATTGTTATCACTAGTCTACCCTTTTGTTATATATTTCTGGAATCTCTTTTATCCGAATATTTATCATTGCGTTAGTATAAATATCATTACGTTGTCTATCTTCATTCGAAGTTTCGACAATTCTAATGATTTTTTTATTTCCATTAAAATACTAGCACCTCGTATATATATGACGATCCATTTTTAAAAAAGCATCAATAACAAATTTACTAATTGTTATAGAATTCCGAAAATTTCGATAAAATACATGTTACTATTACAACTTGTCCATTAAATTTATTATTGTTGTTATTGTACTTTTTGCATAAACAGCGATTCACTTTTGCCAAGAAAAATCTTTTTAACCACTATCTTTGATAGAATATTTATTATTAGTTTCTTGATTAAAAGTAAAAATCTCCATCAAAAAACAGAACCAAGGTTCAAATTAAAAAATTAAACTAATTTTACATATAATGAATCTGAGGATCATATAACTTGCCATGAATCAATGAATTATCAATACTTGAACATCATTCATTATTCTTTATTTCTTTAAAAATTTCTTTTTTGAAGATTTCCAAATCGGGGATCATAATTTTGTGAAAGAAGTTTTTTTTACTTTGATCCAACTGTCAAAATAGTCGACAATTGATGATATATAGACTTAATTTTTATATTAATTCAATCAATACTTTAGTCACGTCAATTAGCGTGTTATTTAAAAATAAAAATTCAATTAGTCATCAAGGAAGGTGTAGAACTGATCGATTCATTAAACTAGCATTTGCATTAAACGAATTGGTTTATATACATGATATAATATATAGGACAAAGAAGAATTTATATGAAAAAGTTTGTATATTATTGTTTATTGTTTATTATCATTGAATCAATCATTTGATAACAACATTAAAGTACATAATGCATGATGAAATAATTTACTTGTCTAAATAATGATTATATGAATGAAACGTATATATTAAAATTAAATATTAATGATAACAATAAAAATATAATTAAAGATAAAATAATATAATAAATGCTAAATTCATAATTAATTAATTAATTAATTAGTTATTATTAATTAATCAATCAATCGATTAGTGAATTGTTGAAATTAATGATTTAAAGTAAACAATGTGATGTGATGAAATGAAATATGAATATGAGTGTGTATTTATGAATAATATGTATGAATGAGAGAAATGAATATATATGATCTAAAGAAAGTGTGAATGTATATATGATCTAAATTTCTATACATAAAATTTTATTTTTATTAATAATAAATTTTATTTTATTTGAATTTTTATTTAATAAAATTATACTTTGTAAATATATATATAAATAACCAAATTATTATAAATAGTTGAATAAAAAAAATTTTTATTTTAATCATATGGCATTTTTTCTTGTTAAATCATCAAACCGTTTAAATGTGTAACCAACAAATGCCAAATCTTTTTGATTATAGTCACCATTTGAACTAGTGGCAGCAGGTGGGGCTACAAATAATAATTGATTAATAATTAATTAATTGTAAAATAAAAATAAACATATTGTTATTATTTTTACCAGGTATAGGAGGTCTATCAGGAATATCAAGTTCGTCAGTAGGAAAGTATCTAGTATCAGTGATAGATTTCAATTCAGGTATAAATGGTGCCTCAACATCACGGATTGTATCCCAGTCTACTCCTTCAAAGAAAGGATGTGCTTTAATTTCATCAGCTCCATTACGACCCAAGCGATTTTCAGAATCACACATAAATCTGATAAAGGTAGAAATTAGCACTACATACATACAATATATTTTCTTTTCCGCCTCAAAAGATTCATTTATTTACCTTTTGATTAAATCTTCAGCTTCATAACTTAGATGTACTTCTTCTGGGAAATAAAATTGATCGCGCCAATTGATAATTTTACGGTAAGTTTCATGAGCACTCTCACTACAGAATGGAGCCCAGCCCACAAGACATTCATACATGATGGCACCTAAAGACCACCAATCACACTCTTTACCATAACCTTGTTGTAAAAAGATTTCAGGTGCAATATAATCAGGTGTACCAACTGTAGAATATGCCTACATTGATCGATATAGTAATCAGGAATTAATATTAATGAATATTAAACAAGTAATAATAATAATCATTGTATAAAACTTCAATATTACCAGAGCTCTCCTATTTTTTTTCCAGGTGGCAATTTTGTCTTTGTTAGATAATGTTAGATTAATGTTGTGTTCACTATTTAGAGGTCTATGACCAGCAGAATTATTTGCATTTTCTAAAAGTCTTTGGTAGTAAGCTGAATCATGAGTTCGATGAAAACCGGTGGAAAGTCCGAAATCAGATAATTTTATATGACCATTCTTATCAATTAATATATTATCTGGCTTAATATCTCTAGTGTTTGAAGGAAAATTATTATTTTTAAGAAAAATGATTTATCAAATAAATAAATTTGAGTTTCTTTGCAACAAATACCTATGAATGAAATCTAATTTGTGAATAGCCTCGATAGCCAATACACATTCAGCAATATAGAAACGCGTTATGTCTTCGCGAAATGTGTCATGTTGTATAAGCATAGTCATTAAATCTCCACCAGGCAAGAATTCCATGATAAGATAGAGATACGAAGGATCTTGGAATGAGTAGTATAATTGAACTACCCAAGGAGAATCGCATTCGGCTAAAACATCACGTTCAGATCTCACATGTGCCAACTATATATGAAACAAGAAATTCGATCAGAATTGATTGAGAGAAAAACAAATAAATGAATTGATTGATTGATCAATCAATTAATTAAAGGGGTGAATTTATTTCTTAAAGGATTATACTTGATCTTTTTTAAACATCTCAGCTTTTCTTAATGTTTTCATAGCATATATTTTAGCAGTATCAGCTTTTTGAACTAATCGAACCTAAATAAATTGAAAAAATATTATTAATACATATATATAAATGCCTATATTTATATTCATATCTAAACATGAACACCAACACCAAAACATATTATAGAAATAACGACAACAACACGATGATTTTGTTGGGTTTAAAAATAATTTCAACTTTTTGAAAAAGTTGGTTGTGGATAAATAATTTAAACATTAACA